TGTGTGTGTGTGTGTGTGTGTGTGTGTGTGTGTGTGTGTGTGTGTGTGTCAGACGCCCTGGAACTGGAATTACAGGCAGGTGTGAGCTGCCATGTGGGTGTTGGGACCCCTAGGCCTATGGAAGAACAACCAGTGCTCTTAACCACTTGGCGAGTCCTAGATGAACTTTTTTAATGGGGCTGGGACAACTGCATAACCATTTGCACCAAAGAGAAAAGCAAGCCCTGGTGAATTAAGAGCCTAAATGTAAGGAATCAAAACCCCAGAACTACTATAAGAAGCATGGTGAGTGCCCTTTAACCTGACATAATAATGGGCAATAAAAGTAATAAACAGCAAGAAAACTTTTGTTGTCAAGTTTTGCAGTGAGTTTTGTGCTGATCACATGCATTCAGTAGGATTGCTTGTTATATTGGTACCGCTCTGCTTTCCTTGTGGATTTGGAAACTAGGGTTTAAAGGATAAATAACTTACCTAAGGACAGGTGTGGTAGCGTCAAGACTTGAGCTTAATCTTGCCTAAATCCAGAGCTCTTGCGCGGTTGTTTTATTTGTTTTGGAGGGCAGAGGCAGTATATGTCTATATGTGTGGTTTGGGTAACATGCATTTTTACATTTCTTATAGCCATATTAAAGAGGTTAGAAAAAAAAGAAATAGATAAGGATAATTTTAATGCTTAAGGCTAGAGAGATAGCTCAGTGGTTAAGAGTACTTGCTGCCCTTCCAGAACCACACCTGAGTTTGATTCCTAGTATCCATGTTGGGAGATTTACAATTGCCTGTAACTCTAGCTTCAGTGATCTTGTGATTTGATAAGTCTTCTGGCTCCCACTGGTATACATGTGGCATACATGTATTCAGATGAATACACATAGAGATAAATCTTTGAAATAATAATCTTAATACTGGCTGGTCATGGTGGCAAACACCTTTAATTCCAGCACCCTGGAGGTAGAGGTCTGCCTGATCTACTTACTAAGTTCAGGCCAGCAGAGCTACATGGTGAGACCTTGTCAAGAAAAATGCATTAATTAGCTAATGAATTACCTATTGTATTCATTTAACCTGATGTATGTCAAGTATTCCCAAATATAATCAGTTTTTGGTTTGGTTTCATTTGGTTTGGTTTTGTCTTGTTTCGTTAAGGCTGGTAGGGTTGTACATGCCTTTAATCCTTAGCATTCAGGAAACAGGCTAGGGGATCTACATGAGTTTTAGGCCAGCCAGCGCTATGTAGTGAGACTCCGTCGAAAAGAAAAACATTATTAAGATATTTTTTCATGCTAAATTTGAAATGTAAGGTGTGGTTTACATTGACAACCATCTGTCTTTTTGACCGATGGCAAATATATTAGCTGCACAGTCCTAGATTGTGAGATAGGAAACGATGATATACCTTTGATCTTACATTCTTGATACAACATTGTTTACTTCCAAATGTAAATTTTTATTTGGTAGTGAGAGTTTATGACATTCTCAATATGCAATTCTAGATTGTTTATCAGGTGTGTGACTCATACCTATGATACTGGGCACTTGGAAAGCCAGGGCAGGAGGATCTTATTCAGGACTAGCCTAGGCTACATGGCAAAATCCTGTCTTTTTTTTCTAAAATTTATACTGCATGTTGAAAACTATTTTCTGCAACCCTTACCTTGTTTTGCTTTTTAGGGTAAACCTGTCGAACCAGGTTTTCTAAAAACTAATGTCTCAGAATTCCTAAAGTTACTGTACTGTAGAAGCAGTGGGTCAGGTTTCCTCTTGAAATCTTTCCTTGTTGCCTCCAGGTCAGAGCTCAGTGAATTGCTGTGGCTTTCATAAATATCCTTAGACTCAGAGTACAATTTTCTTTTTCAGAATTTGGTGTTCACCTAGCAGAACTGACTGTAGATCCTCAGGGGGCACTGGCAATCCGTCAGGTAAGTCCAGGCTCGTCCAGTTTATGAGTAATTTCTCCTTACTTAATGGTGAAACTTTCTTAGGAGAAAGAGAAAAAATACGAACAATGTATAAAACATGATTTTTGTACCAAATGTATCAAACCATATATGTGGTTTTTCTATGTGAAAATAAGTCCTATTTTTGTTGCACATGATGGCTTATTCTCTTTGCAGTTGGCATCAGTCATCTTGAAGCAATATGTGGAAACTCACTGGTGTGCCCAATCAGAGAAGTTCAGACCTCCTGAAACTACAGAACGGGTAAAGGCGGTTACATGGTGGTTAATCTACCTACAAAGATGTGAGACACAGTTTTTAGACATTCAGCATTAATAGAACATTTTCTGACAACAGAAAATAAGACTAGGAAGAAAATAGGTTGGTGGATGGTATTATGAGTGCTAATCTACAAATGAGAGTATCAAGGTGGACTGTGTTCAGGTTCCAGTTGTTACCCAGGCATGGTGTCGCACACCTGTAATCCCAGCACTCAGGATGGCAGAGGCTGGCCGATCTCTGTGAGTTCAAGGCCAGCCTGGTCCACAAAACAAATCCAGGATAGTCAAGGCTACACAGAGAAATTCTGTCTCAAAAAACTAAAAAAAAAAAAAACAAACAAAACAAATTCCAGTTCTGCCCTTTTGCAGGCCATAAGAGCATTTGAAACATATTTAGCTGTGAACACTGAATTTCCTAAGTTTCCAAAATTAGAATTAAAATTACCAACTTCAAAGAGCTTGACATTTGTATGAAATAGACTTCTTCTTAGTAAAATTGCTAAGCAATTATCCTGCATACCCAAGAAAGGATGAGATACAAGGTCTAGAACTGTGGTTGGAACCTTCTACAATTGTGGAACTGTTGTGTTTGTATGATGGCCAATATGAGCACCACTGTGGCTGGTGAACTCTTAATGTGTGGCAACTAAGATAATCCCAAAGCAGGTAGGCTTTGCCTGCTGCTTACCATCTGATTAGTGACAAGTGACCTTTCCTCCTGTACAGGCCAAAATTGTTATCCGGGAGCTATTACCCAATGGGTTGAGAGAATCCATAAGCAAAGTGCGCTCCAGTGTGGCCTATGCTGTTTCAGCCATTGCCCATTGGGATTGGCCTGAAGCCTGGCCCCAACTCTTCAACCTGCTAATGGAGATGTTGGTGAGCGGAGACTTAAATGCTGTCCATGGAGCCATGCGTGTGTTGACAGGTACCAGAAGTGTTTTTCTTGGTGTTGGTGAGAGGAACAATTAGAAGCTATGTGACAGGTGGCCTAGACCAAGGATCTCCTCTCTTCCAGGTTTTTTTTAAATGTTTCTCTTCTAGTTTTCATCTCTACAGCCATCAGAAGTTCCGTGATTCTTTCAGGGAATTGAGTTAGCATAGTACTACCTATACGTCCAAATCCTTACTTAGGAGAGTATGATTCAGTGGCAAAGCATGCACAAAGCCCATGTTCAAGCCCCAACACCACATACATACAAAGATAGAGGAATGCCCTGGCAAATAAATACTTAGATTTTTGGTTTATACTCTGTCTATACCTTGGCACTGTGCTTAGTCTCTTTGAGCCTTAGTTTCTAAGATGCTTTCTTAATTACTGTTCTGTTGCTATGAAGAGACACTGTGACCAACACAACTCTTATAAAATTGAAGCTTGCTATAGTTTTAAAGGGTAAATCCACAATCATCATGGTAGGAAGCATATAGGCATTTCTGGAACAGTAGCTTAGAGTTTTATATTGTGTTCTGCCAGCAGATATACAGACCCTGGACCTGACATAGGCTTTTGGAACCTCAAAACCCACCCACAGTGACACACTTCCTCTAATAAGGCCACACCTACTCCAGCAAGTCATACCTCCTAATCCTTCTCAAACAGTTCCACTCTCTGGTGACTCAGCATGTAAATGCTTATTGGAGCCATTTTCATTCAAACCACCACAGATGCTAACCTCAAAGGACTTTATAGTAGTTGACATGTGCTAATATATGTAAAGTATTGAGCATAATAATTGACATGTAGTAGACTCCTGAGTAAACTTTAGTCATTAGGCTTAACATAAATCTTGGGTATTCTTTCCTGTTTAACTGACTATACATGCATCTTGAAAATGTCTCAATAGTTTTATCTTTAAATGATAATATATAAATACATGAGATGAAGTGTAAAGTAATTAAAACTCAAAGACTTGTACTCCACTGCTTAGTTCAAACAGAAAAATTTATAGAGTAATCAGGGTTCACCTGAGCTTGGTGGTTACACGCCTTTAAACCCCATGCTCAGAAGGCAGAGATCTCTGTGTGTTCAAGGCCAGCCAGAGCTATACAGTAAAGCCCTGTCTTAAAGACAAACGAATAATCAGGACTAAAAAGATAACTGGTTAAGAATGCTTGCTACTTCCCCAGAAGACTCAAGGTGGGTTCCCAGCACTTGTATGCTGTTAGCTGTCTGTAACTCCAGCTCCAGTGATCCAGCACCTCTCGACAGGCATCTTCATTCACATGCATGTGCCCTCCACCCCCCAACACACAAATAAATGTAATATAAATGATTTTTTTTTTCAATTAAGGGACTGGAGAGATAAGATAGCTTTGGTTAAGAGCACTGGCTGCCCTTCTAGAGGACCTGAGCTTAGTTCCCAGAACCCTACGTCAGGTGGCTGACAGTCGCCAGTGACTCTAGCTCCTGAGGACCTTATGCCATCTTCTGCCCTCTGAAGGAACCAGCACATGTGGCATACAAATACATATAAACAAAAATAAGTCTGTAATTAAACAAACAAATAAATCTAATCATAGTGAGATAGTGCTGGAGGATGTCTCAGTTGTAGAAGCATTTGTCTAGCTAGTATAAATCCCTGGGTTCAGTCTCTGCACTAAAAACAACCAAAACAAATAGTCAAATGAAATTATTGTAGAAATAAGGTTTAAAAGAATCTATGCAATCCTGACCATAAACATAATGTAAATAAGCAGCTTAGAGATGGCATATTCTTTCTTTTTTTTTTTTTTTTTTTTTTTTGAGGAAATTCCAACTTTAAGGAGTTTGGAGTTTTGATAGAGAGCTCTTATAAGACTGATTAATTTATCAGTCCCTTCTAGAATTTACTTTCATATATTGCTAAGTCTGGCCTGAGTTTTCTAGTCCTTTTCAAGTTCTGTCATATATTCATTCCCCTATAAAGTTACTATGAAGCTCTTCCACAAACATTGTTCTGAGGTTGGAAAGATGGCTCAGTGGTTAAGAGCACTTGTTCTTGCAGACCTGGGTTCAGTTCCCAGCAACCACAAGGTGGCTCACAACTGTCACTCCAGTTGCAAGGGACCTGATTTCTTCTTCTGGCTTCAGTGGATGTGAGACACACACATGGTACACAGATGTAGATGTGGACAAGCACTCATACATATAAAATGAAATTAAAACTTAAAAAATGCCAAGGCTGAAAAAAATCTGAGGCTGAAGAAGCAGCCCAGCAATTTTGAGCACATACTGCTCTTGCATAGGACCCAGCACCAGTGTTGTAAATTGAACAGTCACGTGTAACGCCAGCTTCAGAAGATCTGACACCTCTGCCTCCTGTGGGCATGTGTCACATACACATGTGTTGTGTGACAAAACTTTTCCCGGGGAGATGAACACATATGTCTGCTCACCCCAGATAGGAATCCCACAACCGACCAAAGAACGGATACCACCAAAATCCAGCATGGTAAAGCTTTTATTGGGGTTTTTATTGAGTTTTATTGGGGTTACATGCAGGAACAGAAATGACTCAAAGACAGTTGCATTACATGAGTGACAGCTCACAAAGCTGGGAACTTGGAGGATACTGTACAGCCTGCAGGCAGCTCAACAGGTTGGAGCATGTCCTTTCCATGTGCCTCAGTTGGTCTAAATCTTTTTGAGGCAGCTTGCCTGCTTTCTGCTTCTTCCAGGCAGCTGGTCTGTCTGAGACTCTTTGCAGTTTGGCTGTGCTGTATCTGAGGGGAACTCTTGGCTTTTACAGCTTTTTCTGGCAGGGAGGGGCCTTAAAAATGATCAGTTTCAGAGACTGTTTTGGGTTGTTTGCTTATCGTCCTACTTTGGAGCTTCCCTGTAGGATGAAATGTTTTAGTCTCTGGGGAAATGGTTTCAAGACAACATGCCCCTATGTAGATGTATATGCATAATAAAAATAAATTGTAGCTATCAAACAAAGAATGCTAAATTTATAAAATACCGCTGGACAAGCCATGTTGTGCTGACTTTTTAGAAATCATCTTTCCCTTCTGTTCATGTAGGTTGATGGAAATCATACACAGAAGTCTATTTCTCTGACACCTATCAGTTTACATGAAATGCACGCCCCCTCTCTCTCCCTCTGTCTGTCTCTCTCTCACTCTCTTTCGCTGTGTTTTTGAGACAGGGTTTCTGTGTGTATCCCTTGCTGTCCTGGAACTCACTGTGTAGACCAGGCTGGCCTTGAACTCTGAGATCTGCCTACCTCTGCTGGGATTAAAAGTATGTGTGCCATCACTGCCTGGCTTTTCTCTTTTTTACTGGAATATCTTCTGTGTATCTTTTGACAGTTTCAAACAGGTAAAAAATGTATCTTAGTCATATCTACCCTCAGCTCTCCCACTCCACATGCCAGTACCCCAATGTGCCCCCATTTCTCTTTAACACTCCCTTACTTTTTTGTATAAAGCACTGAGTCTAATCATTGCCTATTGGAGTATGGACTGACATTGCTGGCTTGCTCTGTGCAGTTAACTGCAGCTGCTGTGAGTTCATGAGTGCATTGACCATGTTATCCAGAAGACAGTGTTTCACAGCACTCCTCGCCATCCTGCAGTTCTTACATTCTTTCTGCTCCATTTTCTGTGATTTTCTCTGAGTCTTAGGGTGGGTTGGGGGCTTGTTAACCATTTAGGGCTAAGCACTAAATAATCACAGTCATGTATTGTCAGCACTGACCAGGTGTGAGTGTGTCTGTCTTGGCCTGTAGAGAGAGCTTCTCTAGCCAAGGTTAGAGGCAGTTCTACCCTGTGGGTTTATGCATATTTATTTAGAAGGCAATTTGAGAATATGTTGCTTTACAAAAGTAATGTTAATGTTTCCCCAAGACCTAGCACTTTCCAAGCCATGATATTTTGACCAGGTTTATAGGAAAGGATAGGCATGATTCCCTCCTTTGAGGAGACCTAAAATCTGGGAACTGAATCCAGATTTTCCTCAAGAGCAGTAAGTGCTTTTCACTGCTGAGCTGTTGTTCCAACTCCCAGCCAATTATATATTTTCTCTCTCTTTTTTTAATTTTTATTATTTACAGTTAATTCACTTTGTATCCCAGCTGTTGCCCTCTCCCTCATTCCCTCCCAATCCCACCCTCCCTCCCACACCCCTCCCCAAGTCCACTGATAGGGGAGGTCCTCCTCCCCTTCCTTCTGACCCTAGCCTATCAGGTCTCATCAGGACTGGCTCCATTGTCCTCTGTGGCCTGGTAAGGCTGCATCCCCCTCAGGGGGAGGTGATCAAAGAGCAGGCCACTGAGTTCATGTCAGAGACAGTCCCTATTCCCAATACTAGAAAACCTACTTGGAGGCTGAGCTGCCATGGGCTACATCTGTGCAGGAGTTCTGGGTTATCTCCATGAATGGTCCTTGGTTGAAGTATCAGTCTCAGAAAAGATTCTGTGCCCAGATTTTTATTCCCCTCCCCCCCTTGTGAAGCTCCTGTCCCCTCCAGGTCTTTCTATCTCCCCCTTCTTTCATAAGATTCCCTGCACTCTACCGAAAGTTTGGCTGAGTCTCAGCCTCTGCTTTGATACCCTTCAGGGTAGGGTCTTTCCGAGTCCCTCTGTGGTAGGCTCCTGTCCTGTTCCCTGTTTTTTCCCTCTTCCGATGTCTATTCTGTTTGCCTTTCTGAATGAGGATTGAGCATCTTTACCCAGGGTCCTCCTTCTTGATTAGCTTCTTTAGGTGTACACCAATTATATTTTTTAAATTAGCTTATAAAGTAGTAGTTTTCCATAAGGGATTTTCATATATCTGTAGATTTTGGTTACCCTTGCTCCTTCTCCCCTGTCTCTCACTCTTAACTCCCAGTATTCCTCTACATTCATATCAGGTGGGTTCTGGGTCCTCACTTTTTAAGACCTCTTTTATCCTGACCTCTACAGATCCTCAAAATTAAGCACACAGATCTAAAATTTCAAAGCTAGGATC